ATCTATCTATCTAATCAATCAATCAGATCTATCTATCTAATCAATCTATCTAATCTATCTATCTTCCCGTCCGTCCGTCTAAAGACCTTTGTTTGGTCTTGGCCGCTTTTTAGTTTCATAATCCTGTACGCAGTCGGTACGCAGCCCGTCACGAGGCCGCTTCCTACACACGGAATAACACAAACACAGAATAAACCCACACAGACATCCATGCCTCGAGTTGGATTCTAACCCACGACCCCAGTGTTCGAGCAGGCGAAGACAGTTCACGCCTTAGACCGAGCGCTCAATGTGATCGGCACTACTACTACTACTACTAATAATAATAAAGGTACAACTATCCTTGTAACCTTGTAACAGGCCGTGGAGGTCCATAGGGTTGTGAGACGTCGAGGCTTCTACATTTTCTAGACAATCGGCTCACAGATAGCGATGAGGTCAACTTTACGCGCCGGCCACCTTTTACTCCCCAGGAAGACCCTGGTACCCGTTTTTGTTAGACGCTGAGTCTACCTCAGGGCCATAGTGCGGCTGGAAGGATCAGGTCAATAGAAAAACGCAATGACCTCATCGGGAATCGAAACCACGATCTTCCGGCTTGTAGCATAGTTCCGCAACCAACTACGCTACGGCATTCCCCACTACTACTACTAGTACTACGACTACTGCTACTGCTACTACTACTACTACTACTACTACTACTACTAAAAACAGTAATAATAATAATAATAATAATAATAATAATAATAATAATAATAATAATGGAGTTTGGATTAGAAAAATGTGCCAGAATTTCGATAAAAAAAGGTAAGGTTCAAAGAAAAGAGCATGTAGAAAACACAGGGGAGAATGAAATTAAAGAACTAGAAACAAATGGAGCATATAAGTACCTGGGAATAGAAGAGAACCACCAGATAGAACACAAGAAAGAGAAAGAAAACTTGAAGAAGGAGTATGTAAGAAGATTTTGGCGAAGAACGAATATATAGTAAGGCATGATAAAGTTTGCATGCATTTACATTACTCAATATGTAAAGAATTTGGAATTGAAGTACCAGACAACTGGTACTCACACGTGCCTAAGTCAGCATATAACGGTGTTATGGAAACAAGGCGTACAAACAGACAGAGAGGTTCTGGCAAACAGGCCAGACATAATAATTAAAAACAAGCAAAAAAAAACTTGCATACTTATAGATGATAACAATAATAATAATAATGCATTGCTCAAAATGCAGTTCTCCGGCCCGTCCTATACATGTCCCTGGCATAGATACGAATTCGGTACCTTTCGGCTAATGACCTTCTCATTTTACGTGTCGTGTGGCGCTACTGACCTTTCTCAAGCTTCTCTTTCTCAGCGCCATCTGTTTGTGAGTTGTATATCCCGTTCACACTCTGAAAAGCAAACAAACGATTTTAACGAGTTTGTCGGTAGGAAGCGGCAAAAGCGTAAAATAAACAACCAATGTAGGCGAGAACTGGACGCAAGGTTGTCGCAACTGCAAGGCAGTACAATGACATGTGCAAATGTCTGGAGCCCACAGCTGGGCTACAGATGTCAGCTACTATTTCACGACTCTGTGAATAGCTAACAGAAGAGTAACTGTGAAGATGCAAGCACTAGGTCGCTCTGAAACTTTGACAACGCTCTTCCACACCTCAAGGTTTCATATGACAGAAAACAGGAATAGTCAAATTTCGCGTTGGGAGTATTTGACAACAGGGAGCTGAGGAGAATGTGTGTACTTGGGACGAACTGACAAGGGAACGGAGAGACAAAATTTACACTCTTCGCCATATTGGGGTGGTCCAATTAGAGAAGATGGATGAGCGGGTCACGTAGCATGGATATGTGAATGATAAATGTGTAACAAAGTTTTGTCTGAAAATCTCAAGGGAAGAGATCGCTTTTGAGATCTGGATATAGATGTTACTTTGCATCTTAGAGCTGATTTAGTGTGGGGATTGGGTTCGGTTGGCTTAGGCTCGGGTCCATTGGTGAAGAATGTCATGAACTTTCTTGTGTAAAATGAAAGAAGTTGTCTAATTATCTGAGGAACTGTTAGCTCCTCAGAGACTAAATTTCATGTTATTTCAACGCTTCTGGCTGTGTGGTCCAGAAACGGGCTGATAGTTGTGAGGTTGGCTATCTTCTCAACATCATGAGACAACTCAGTTGCAATACTTCGGGCCGCACGCCAGGTCCTGATTTAGACGGGTCATTGCGACATGTTTAACACTATAAACAAACGGCGATGACTATGGGTACCACCTGCTTTAACATTCAGTTACCCTATGTTCTGCCCACACACAGTGTATTTATGTGTTCCTCTTGGTTCTCACAATAAACAGCGACTGTTTCCCTGAACAGTATTAACCGGTTAGGCTTTGTAGCGGAGTCGTAATGTGTTTCCTGTGAGGTACGGACTGAACTGTGCATTCTGCCCACACAGTGTATTTATGTGTTCCGCTTGGTTCTCACAATAAACAGCGACTGTTTCCCTGAACAGTATTAACCGGTTAGGCTTTGTAGCGGAGTCGTAATGTGTTTCCTGTGAGGTACGGACTGAACTGTGCATTCTGCCCACACAGTGTATTTATGTGTTCCGCTTGGTTCTCACAATAAACAGCGACTGTTTCCCCAGAGAGTATTAACCTGTTGGGCTCTGTAGTGGAGACGTAATGTGTTTCCTGTGAGGTATGAAGTTAAGCTTTTATTTTCTTCTCATGACAATAACTCACAAAGAATCGCCATCAGTAGAAGAGTGACCACTAGTAGTCAGAACCTCCTCTCGTCGAAGAGGAGACACTATTTCAAAACACTTAAAAGTCTTGGAAAGAACAAAAAATATGACCATGGGTCTCAACGTTGCCCAAAACCAAGATTAACTGTGCTGGCGAGGGCCAGCAGCAAATTTTTCTCGGCTCTCTGTAGGTCAGTGAACTGACATACGAAAATTTCTGTTGTAATTGCATGTACACATTTAAGTAGCTTTGTTCTTCACCAGTCTTTGTTAATTGAAAAATATTAGTTAACAACCACTTTGATTTAAATCAGCGGTTCCATTGTCTCAATTAAAAGTTAACAAACGTGCTCTGCTGCTTCTATCTGGTACGTGAAACAAATTCTGCACAGAAGATTATTATTAAATTGCAATTTAAGGCAAAGCGTGAGGAAAATATAGTAGTTAATTACGTTAATTCAGGGTAACAGGCACGCTAGGCGGTCGTCTGCAGCGAGCCGAAACAGACTTCCTTTTCCCAGTTTGCTGCATTGTTTACCGGTTTTGCGAGCGATGAGTATGAAAATTTACAAGCCTGTGGCACACGCCTTCAATACATGCGTGAAGACAGTCAATGGATACGTGTATGCGGAAAATATGAAATAAATTCTTTTCGAGGCTAGAAAATGGTTTCCAACCAAAATTTACTATTATTGTTATTATTATAGAAGGAATTTGGAGAAACTGCATAATGAGAAGCTTCATAATTTGTACTCTTTGCTACGTAAAATTAGATTGATCAAGTCAAGGAGGATGTGATGGGCAGGGCATGTAGCACGTATGGGGGCGAAGCGGCACGCATATAGGATATTGATGGGAAAGCCAAAATGAAGGAGACCACAAGGAAGACCAAGACGTAGGTGGGTGTATAATATTAAAATGGATCTTAGAGATATAGGATGGGATGATATGTACTGAATTGATCTGCCTTAGGATAGGGACCAGTAGAGTGCCTTTATGAACACGGTAATGACACTTCGAGTTCCATAAAATGCTAGGAAGTTCTTGAGTAGCTGCACAACTGGCGGCTTCTCAAGAAGGGTTTTTTTTTATTATTATTATTATTGTTATTTTTACATTCCCTACAGAACGGACAATACTTTGTAAGATGAAGTACCGACTAAATAATTAACATTAATATTAATACATCTACATCACGAGCCTCCAATAGCAGTTCTTTATATATATACAACATATAGAATACTCCAATTTGTCCGTGGGAACGCAACAAAATTACAAAAACCAACGACTGACTCGATGATGTAAAGCATCAATCGAAACATTTTATTCTTGTTTTATACCATAACTTTATAATCTAATTTATTGTATTTTTACATCAAGTATTTTATATAATTAATATTATTGTATCCAATTTTACTAGTTCTGCAGTTCAGTGGTGTATATATGTTAGCCATGTATTTGCCTAGTGATGGCTATTAATAGCCGAAACATGTAGCAGAGCCAAAACTAGGCACTGACCTCGATATAGTTGTGTTGTGACGGTTTTAATAAAGAAGTTGTTTATTATTATTGTTAGCCAAGAAATGAGCTGGTGGCCACACTTGGCAGGTTGTATGCTCCAAACCATTCACGAAACTGCACACGGCCTGCCTACTGGACGCAGTCCTGCTTTTCATGCTCTTTAATATGCTATTAACGGTACGAGGATAGCTCGGCCGGAGTTCGATTCACGGCAGAGGTAAGAGATTTTTCTCTTCTCTGTGAAGTCCTGACGGCTGTGGGATCCTTCCAGCCTGCTATGCCGTAGAACCGTCCGGGGTATGAAGCTGACCACTCACATCCATCTAGTAACGAGGTTAAGAATGTATGCAGCTATACCTCCATTGTCCAATATAGTTTTATGGCGTGGTACTCAGATAAACTAGCGCAGGGACAACCGTGTCATGCTTTAAGAATTAACTGAGCAATGTTTGTTTCATTTTCGAGACTAGAGTCGCGAAGTTGGGAACTCGCGCCGTGCAGTATAAATAGCGAGTGAGCAAAACAGATAGAGGCAAGTTCACGGCCCCCTTCGAGCGGGGAAATGTGTGCTCATGTCCACTGAAAGTGGGAACTGAGGAAGGAAAAGTATGTCTCTACCTGTGCCAATTTCTATATTTGAATGCAGTGCTTTTAGCGCTGCCAGATCTGTTCAGTTCCGAACAAAATTCGAGATAATCGAGCGCGCATCGTTAAGAGTCAGGTGCCTACAGCTTTATTTTTAACGACAAAATTGTAAGATAAAGATATCCAACCTACTAAACTCATGGAGCGGAAACTTACGAGAGACGCTCAGATAGTCCGTTCCCAGCATGTTATGTAACCCGCCCGCCACCGGGGTCCTATCCTGAGTAACAAAATCCAGTCCACATCTTCTCAGCCTATTTATTAAATATGAATTTTCATATCCTTCCATCTAGTTTTAGGTCTTTCAAGTGATCATCCTTTAGGTCTTCCTACTAAAACTTCTTGTGTATTTCACTTCTTTCCGACGCGTGCTACATGCCCCACTGTTTTATCCTCGTCGATCTGATTACCCTAGAATATTTGATGAAGAGCTCAAATTATGAAGCCCCTCATTATACAAATTTTTCAATCCTTCTCTTACTTCCCGCTTGTTGTATTAAAAATTATCCACAGAAAGCGTTATGAAGTTCAGGTATAAGGGTCTGACAGTAACAAATCAAAACTGCATGAAGGAGGACGTTAAGAACACATTAACTTCGAGCAATGCTTGCTACTATTCAGTTCGGAATTTGTTCTCTTCGCGTCCGCTGTCTAGAAACGTAAAATATTAACTTTTGCAGAACTGTAGGCCTAATTGTAATATGTCGTTCTGCGCAGGTCTCTCGCCCCGAGGGTGTCTCAGATCATGTCGCTAAGCGGAGAATTTGGGCGTGAGGAAGGGAAAAATTTTTATGATAAGAAGGTTTATGAATTAGTTAGATCGCTTGAAGGGAACAGGTCTAGACCACATGGGATCTGCCGCCTCCATCTTGAGGTTACATTGCAGTAGGTTACTCCGAAACGCCTACATGATTAGTCTAGCAGTGACACTCTAGCCTCATATTCGGGAGGTGCTAGGTTCGAATCGTGGGCCGGAAATCCAGCTATCCTAACTGATATGTGTTGTTGTTTTCCTCAGTCCATCCAGGTAAATTAAGCGATTAGGCTACTATAGCTTCCTTCTAAATCCTTTCCAATCCATTATTCACCCATCATCCTATCATTCGACGCTATAAAGTTTAGCTACTGACAGCATAGAGTAGGCAACCCACTGCCATTCTCCTATCTACCACATCCCCTGGCACATAGTCTTAACACGTGGCCCTATTACTTGCTCTTAATTTTGCCACGGCTGAACAAGTGCATTATTAGTATCACAACAATTGCCAGCCGTTTGTGAAGGAGTGGCATGAAGCATTTTATAGCTTGTTTACAGTTCTGTCGCGTTTTAAGCGACATTGGCAGTTTTCTGTGTCCCACTTGCGATGTATGCCAGCGGTAGCTATTGACGGCTTCGTGGTGTGACGAAACACGTTTGAAATATGTTTCCGAAAATTCTGCGGGCGCTGTGAAATTTGCGGCTTGCATAAACACGAATGCGCAGAT